AGTGCGATCTGCACTTCAATAGCTTATTTCCAGTGTAAAGGTGACACTGAGGGTCTTTTGGACCCCCAGCATCACCTTAAAGAGGACCTGTCACCACCATCTGCTATTACATGGGGGGGCTTGCAAGCCCCCCCATGTGATAGCAGTCAAAGTAAAGTAAAAAAAAAAAAAAAAACAGTTTTTAAAATTAAAATGAAATAAAATAAATCTAATAATAATAAAAAAAAAATTTAAAAGTACCCCGCCCCCGCGAGCACGCGCGTCGCCACGTAAACACGCGTCGGGTGCGCCTACGCATGAAAACGACGAACGCGCTACACATGTTGGGTATCGCCGCGCACGCCGGAGTGAGAGCAATAATTCTAGGGCCAGTATTTTGGGGTATCTCTAAATTGATGACCTGTGGGGGCTTTTAAAGTGTCTTTTATTGACTTTTTGGGGTACTGCAGTTTTTCGCCGTTTCACGGTCGCACGCAATCTGTAAACTGGGCATGTTGGGTATCGTTTTACTCGTTGTAACCTCATCTTTTATATTTCATTAAAAAAATGGGTAATTTGTTGTGTTTTGGGGCATTTAACTAAATTTGTCACTAAATTTTGGGGTTTAATAAGGAGTTGCGCTAATATTGCGCAACATAAAAATTTTCAACTACCACCATTTTATTCTATAGGGTCTTGGCATTCAGAAAATGTCGGGGGGTTTTACGTCATTTTCAGGCCTAAAATGTGGAATATAACATGGGTGCAAAAAATGAAAAAAGGGCCTCAGTCATGAAGGGGTTAAAAGCTTTTACCGCTCATCAGTTTAGTGTTAACAGTGATTGATGGCCTTAGAATTACCGCTCGCACTTGTCCACGGTTGATATGTAACATGTGTGGCGCAATGGGCGTAATCATTTGCGCACGTAGGCGCACCTGATGCATGTCAAATAAGCCAACTATTATAATATTTCTGCCCATACTGTTTAGAATCACTTCTTTGGGAAAAAAAGATAATGGGGGGAATTTATCAAGACTGGAGCAGACAAAATCTGGAGCAGTTGCCCATGGCAACCAATCAGCTTCTCTCTTCAGTTTGTTCAGTGAAGATTTGAAAATGAGAGAAAGAAGCTGATTGGTTGTCATGCACAGCTGCTCCAGATTTTGTCTGCTCCAGTTTTAATAAAATCTCCTCACTGTATTTCGTATTGCCAAAATTACACCTCTTTTCTTCTTGTTAGGCATATTGGACAAATATACCTCTTTAACCCCTTCATGACTGAGGCCTTTTTCCCCCCCATTTTTTGCACCCATGTTATATTCCACATTTTAGGTCTGAAAATTACTTAAAACCTCCAAACATTATATATTTTCTGAAAGCCAAGACCCTAACTCCTTATCAAACCCCAAAATTTAGTGAAAAATACACTTAAATGCCCCAAAACACAATAAAATACCCATTTGTTTAATAAAATATAAAAGATGAGGTTACATGCTCAGGTTAAAAATTGTGTGCGTCCGTGAAAAGGCGACAAAATGCAGTACCCCAAAAGTCCATAGACAACGCTTTAAAAGCCCCCAGATACCCTGTAAAGTGAGGTGTAGAACTCTGCAAAAACACAGCGGATCTCTGAGGGAGAGGTCAGAAGATTCTCTGTCAGTGAGCGAATATGAGGGATATAAGGATGTGTTGCCCTCGGGTGTAACGTCCTAGCTAATGCTTTCCCACATTTATTGCGAGTCTCGTACGCCCTGGTTGCCAGTTTAGCCTGATAGGATCGTGTCGACAAGTCTAGAAGGCCCAACAACTTTAGTCTAGCTTGAGAAGTGCGCAGCAGGAGCTCCGACGAAGGCGAGCTCTTATGCTGAGTCTCCAGGTCTACAAGGGTCTGAATGGCGTCCCGGATTCGTTTAGCCCGTTCCCTCTTCAGTCTGGAGCCCTGCTGGATCAGTATGCCCCCCAGAACTGCTTTCAGCGCTTCCCACTGAAGATGAAGAAGAGTGGGGTCAGAGGTGTGCACCTCAAGAAAATGGGTAATTCCCCCTTGTAGTGCAGAGGCACAGCTTGGGTCGGAGAGCAAGGATTCATTCCATTCCTGGGTGGGGGCCTGAGGGACCTGTAGGGACAGTGTGACTGAGGCATGGTCGCAGTCACACTGTCCCTAAAATGTCATCGGAGGGGGGCCAATGTCACAGAAGGGGGCACCAATCCAGCATGGGGTGGGAGATATAGAAGTAGTTTATTCTACTATAGGAGCGGTGGGGTGCGGAGAAGTGGGTATAGTTCCGCGTTTGGGGGTGATGAACCCTCCAAGTATCAACCAGGTGGAGGCGGGGGAGTTGTTTCTTAACGCCATGAGAGGGCTGAGCGACCCATGGATGAGTCCAGAGCGGGCTCGAAGGCAAGGTTGAAATACCCACCCAGTAACACCATGCCCTCTGCAAAGCCCTCCAGCTCCTTCAGGAGCTCCTTCTTCTCATTGCAATGGAGACCCCTGCGACTAATAAATAGCGTTGGTGCTATGGTACCAGGAGGTGAAATATCTGTTGGCACAGGAGGGTGCATGGTCAGTCTGGAAATGCATTTCCGGGAGTAGGACAATGTGCAGTTGTGCATGTGGTACAAAATCTGTCCCCGTTTGGACAGGACATTAAGGCCCCTGACATTGAAGGTGCAGAGGCGGAGCTCCGCGGGGGCAGCTACAGGTGGGGCCATGGCAGGGATTGGGGAGGAGGAAGGAGTGAGAACGACCAGCGAAGGCTCAGGTTCAGTAGAAAGGACAGAAGTCCTGGAGAGTAGACCAGAGGGTGCAGGGGAGTGGAAAGAAGGAGGGAGAATAGCAGGCGGAAAAGAGGAAGAGAGGGATGAGACTAAGAGAAGAGGTAGAAAAGTCACAGAGTAAGACGGACAAAAAAAAGAAAACCAAAAGGGCGGCTTTCACCGCTACTCAAATAACAAAATTCTAGCAAATGCTAGTTTACAACAGTCTCCAATGGGAGACGTAACACCTATGTGGGGAGAGGTGGTCGAAAATGAAGGAACGAGGTGCCTACCGGGACCCCAGTATAAAAATAACATATTTAACAGCAACACATTTCAACACCCAATATGATCAGGTGCCGCAACAAATCCAGCTTAAGTGTAACTTCTGGCTCCGAGGCAGGGGGACCAGAAGCTGCATCACCTGCGACAACCCCCGCCACACAGCTGCGAAGAACAAGAACATCAGAAACCGCAGGACAGTGAGTACATTACTTCCACAAAGTATTGAAAGAAACATAAAAAAGGAAAAACAGCCCCAAATGCATTGCATAACCATAAACACATAAAAAGGTGTCCCATGAGATAGCGGACGGCCCCCGAGGGTGCCGCTGGGTCAGGGGGCAAGCCACGAAACATCATCCTCTGTTGCGAAGCACTAGGGTACCCGGCAAACCTCAGAGTCAACCAGTCCCCCCAACCCCCTCCCAGCCCCAAAGGGCAGAGAAGAGGCCAAGGGGAACCGGCCCACTGCATGGATCACCCCCGTGCAGCCACACCGCGGGAAGGCCTAGGAAAAAAAGGGTTTAGGCATAACTGGAAAATACAACAAAGGATCCGGGCAATGTAGTAGACATACAGGCACAATGCAGTAGGACAGAACAATTTGTGGACTAGCGGTCAGGGAACAAAAAGTCAGCACTCATTTGCAGACGGGTTGGCCGGTCTTGGAAGACCCTGGCCCCTGCGAGATGAACGTGAGTGGGTCCTTCTACTGCGTTGAGGCAGGACCACATGGGATCGGGAGTCCTCCCCAGCAAAGGGAAGGTCCAGCCAGTTCGGGACTTGGACCGGATCCGACTCCAGGAATCCAAAGAGCTTGGGTAGCTGAGTTGGAGTGCGCAGATGAAACGAGTCGGAGCCCTTGCGTATCAGGATGCTGAAAGAGTGGCCCCAGCGGCTCTCATCTGATGGATGACCTCCAACAGTGGTCTCACCGATCTGCACATTGCTAAGGTCAGGCGGGAGAGGTCGGGTAGAAGCTGTATGGAAGTCTGTATGAAAGTCAATAGGACCCGTCTCCAGGCAGCGCGGAGGATTTCTTCCTTAATGGCATAGAAGTGCACTCGGCAGAGCACATCCCTGGTACGGTTCGTGGGTCCTTGCGCGGCTTCGGACACGCAGTAGACCCTGTCCAGCTCTATGGAGGCAGTGGGGGGTTTTCCCAGGGCCACGTTAAGGATGGCAGTGACCGTGGCCTGCAGGTCAGGACCCTCTGTCGCCTCTGGGATTCCCCACAAGCGTATATTGTTGTGGCAACTGCGGTTTTCACTGTCTTCCACCCTGAGTTGTAGTTGCTGGAGATGGGCATGGTGAGACCCCTGGGCTGGCTCCAGTGCCTCAATGCGGGTATCATCTAAAGTCACTGAGGTCGATAGGGCAGTTATGTTAGTGTCCTGCACCTCACCCCTCAGAGCGCCCTCCAAGCGCATAGCCCGTGTCAAAATCAGCCCGCAAGGCTGTAAGCAGATCACGTACCTCCCCTGCAGCTGAAAGGTCCGTGTGAGTGCAGTGTGAGTCCCCGGTGTCGGAGGATCCAGTGCCTCAGGAGATGCAGGCAGCAGTACTGTGGGCTCTGGGGAGGCCGGGGATCCAGCGCTCTCAGTCCCGCGGGCCGTGCCATGGATTCGAGGCCTTGCGAGGGCGTGGCTGCGGCCTTCTGCTGGAGTTTCGGCGCCATGATAGTCCGTTGCGGCGCCGAAAGTAGGATGAAATATCCCTGAAACCAGGAGGTGGAGGGGGCTGTAGGGGAGGTCTGGGTGCCGGACATAGAGTGGGGGAAGATAATGGTGCTGATTAATCAGGCTGTAAGGCAGCCCGGATCAGCAGAGCTCTCAGCAGCACGTCCTCAGCCGTTCATGGTCGGCCCCTATAAATATCTTTATTTACTGGACATAAAAATAATTATTTATGAAAAAGTTGGAGAAAAATTTGATGGTAATGTAATATACTATTATCTGATGTTTTCTTTTATTTATAGACTCTGAAGCGTCAGAGTACCCTTGCTCTGCTATTCTTTAACAGTATTCTTGCTCATGGGGATCTAAGGAACAACAAACTGAATCAGCTGGCTGCAAATCTGTGGAATTTGGCTCAAAAACATGGTTATGCTGACACCAAAACTATGGTAAGAAACCTTCCAGTGTAACCTTCCAGTGTAACATAAGTACTCCATGTCAGTATGTTGATTCTCTAAATCTCAGCCCTTTTCTCATAATTTTCTTCCAACCCTAAGAGTAGCTAACAAAATTTTCTGGGCAGACAGAGTGAAGTTAATTTGAATTGTTTTGCAGTGTCCCAATGGCTGCTGGTTTTCAGTTCAGACCTGCTTTGTCACACAGCACCAGTAAAACAGTAAAAGCCTGTGGTTTCCAGAAAATTTTAAAAACTACTTTTTGTATTGACCAATGGCACTGGATTAATTGTGCTCTTTTACCACAAGTGTTCTAATTTCCACAAACACACAATATCTTGGCCTTTATTCAGAAAATGTGTACAGCCAAAACATTTTTTTTTTGCTTTGGATAAATCGGGAATGACCAGAACCCCCTGCAAAGTTTTCATTATGTACCCGATGAGTAGATTTGTTTCTCTATATTTGTCCAGGTGACTATTGTTAGAATATGTTGGGAAAACAGGAAGTGTTCAAAAACCTACAATTTTATAAGTGTCACTAGAACGAGAGGGTAGAGTAAATCCTTAATTGGGGCACCTGCTCAGTTGAAAATGTTAAATTTCCCTTACTTCCTGTTGTATTTCAAAGAGAGGAAATTAAGGAAAATCACTCTAAAGTAACACAACAAAAATTTACCTGACAAGTTATGTACTTTCTTGGCTCTAATTAAATATAAACAAAATTTGTCTCTTTACACTTTAACCACTTCAGGACCGCCCATTGTTAAAAAAACATCCTGTCCTGAAGCTGTTATACCAAAACCCAGTTGCTGCAGCAGCCTGGATTCTTTGTATCATTTTAACCACTTGAAGACCAGGGTGTTAAACCCCCTTCCTGGCCAGGCCATTTTTCAGTATTCAGCGCTTTTGTACTTTGACAATTATTCAACTATGCAACGCCGTACCAAAATTAATTTTATAACATTTTTTGTGGAAAGCTAGAGCTTTCGTTTGGTGGTATTTAACCAGTTGACATCCGCGGTGTTAAACCCCCTTCCCATCCAGGCCATTTTTCAGTATTCAGCGCTGCGTTACTTTGACTGACATTTATTCCGTCATGCAGCGCTGTACTGAAATGAATTTTACGTCCATCCGTTTTTTTACTACGCGTGGACGGCAAGTGGTTAACCACCACCGGGTTTTTTATTTTTTACTGTATAAAGGAAAAATTACAGAAAATTTTGAAAAAAAAACTTTTCCCTATGATGTAGTGATGAAACATTGCACATAAATAATCTTTCTTCATAAATTTAGGCCAAAACTCAATCTGCTATATGTCTTTGGTAAAAACAAACAACAAATAAGTGTATATTAAGTACTGTGTGTGAAAGTTGAACAGTCCACAGGCTACAGTATATATATTTGAAATGTATCAATTCTGGTGCCCTGACTGCTTAATGCATTTCTTGAGGCCATAAAATGCCAGGACTGTAGAAACACCCACAAAATGACCCTATTTTGGAAAGTAGACACTTCCAGGTATTTAATAGGAGGCATGGTGAGTTTTATGATTACATTTTTTGCCACAATTTACAATTATTTAAAAAATAAGGAATAAAAACTGAAGTCATCAAAAAAATCACCATGCCTCTTATTAAATACCTTGGGGTGTCTGCTTTCCAAAATGGGGTCATTTTGTGGGAGTTTCTACTGTCCTGGCACTTTAGGGCCTCCACAAATGTAGTCAGGGAATCATATGCATTATTTATGGTTTTGAAAGACTTAAGGTACTCCATGGATTCTGTATTTTTTCTACACAAACTTGTCAATGAATAAGATATGTCTAGCACACAGCATGGGCATCCTTAGAGTTACACCCAAAAACACGTTCTGCTACTGCTCCTGAGTATGAGGATACCACGCATGTGAGACTTTTTAGCAGCTTAGCCACATTGGCTCAAAATCCAAGGAGCACCTTGAGGCTTAGAAGGGCATAAATTATGCATCTGATTCCCTGACTACCTATTGCATTTTTGGAGGCCCTGAAGTGCCAGGACAGTAGAAAACCACACAAATGACCCCATTTTGGAAAGCAGACACCCCTAGGTATTTAATAAGAGGCATCATTAATTTTTTTAAGATATCATTTTTTTGCCACATGTTTTTAGAAACTGAAAAAGAAAAAAAAATAAGATGTCAATTCAGAAGATATATCTAACACACAGCATAGACATCCTTAGCATTAAACCCCAAAACACATTCTGCTACTTTTTCTGAGTAGGGGATGCCACATATGCAGGGCAGCCTTCAGAAATGTCGGGGCCCCTTACACAGCTATAGGCCGGAGCCCCCCCCACACCGCCCGGTCGTCCCC